GGGTAATGTTGTAATTGTCAGAAACTGTGTAAAAACAAAGATTCAAAAGGAAAAAACGTGCAGAAGAAAAAACATATGATGTATTTTTATGTCTAACAGTCCCGTAATGCAAGAAATAAATTAATGAACTACGTTTGGTCAGCATAATGCTGGGAAACTTTGAAATTCAAAAAATTTTTAGGCAAATAATCTGAACGTGGTATGATTTATAGAGCCGGATATGACGGCTGATTGATAATAATCAGGAGATTTTAAGACGTTGTTCAATGAAGATTAGATGTCATGAAGGGGGAGATTTGCATTATATTGTTCAGAAAATATAAATATTGTTATGTAACTGAAGCAATTAGGATAATTACATAAAATTATTGTTTTGATCATTGCTGTGATCATTAAGTGTGTGAATGATGTGGATGTATTTATAGATAGGTTTTCGTGTATTGCCAGTTATCTCTTCAATTTGTGTGTGTCAGTGAATGGTATGTATGTATGTATTTTGCGTGGTTGTTACGCTCTCTCTTTTTTTTTTTTTTTTTGAGATGTGCATGTTCGTAACCTTGTTCATATTCTGTACTCTGGTATTATTTACTTTTATACCTCCTTGTAATTTATATTGCTTTTAAATAAAATACATGTATAAAAAAAACAGCAATCATTGGATTCCATGTCTTGTGGTACCTGAAGTGCTGAGATAGCACAAATCTTAGCATCAATAGGAGCAGCCTCAGGTTGACCTATGCAAAACCCGAGATATACAATCTTGTCTTGCTCAAAGCTACATTTAGCTAAGATCATTGTTAAGTTGTAGTGAGCCAGTTTTTCAAATAATGCTCTGAGACGTGCAAATGTTGATCCCAGTCGTCACTATACACCACTAGGTCGTTTAGGTAGGCTTCAACTTTGTCTACGTTGTAAGTCAACTCGTTTATCAGACGTTGAAAGGTTGACTCAGCAACATAAGCGAGATAGTTGAACAATCCATCTTGAGCAATGAAACAGGTACAGAAAAAAGAGGAGCAGGTGGGGGGGGGGGGTCAGCAGACGTACTCATCATTTAACAGATGTGGCAGCGTCGAACATGATCAGAGACAGTTTCCTTTGTTATAGGTCAAATGAAATGTTTCGCCAACTTAACTAGTGTCTTCTTGACACCCAGATGTCCTCTTACGGGATTATTGACATCAAAATCTATACTGTACTCATGAAATGTTACTGATAAAACGACCCGATGCTTGACTGTAGTGGAAACACTGTCAGCTGTTAACATATATGTACTTTTCTCCATCAGTACACCGTTACAATAATAGTAGCAATTATCGAGATCCTTTGCTTCAATCTCACTTACTCTTATATCTGTCTCTCTAGAGACCGATCAATAAATTGATCCTTGATCAGATCTTCATGAATAAGAATTTTGAAGTCAGTGGCGTATTGATCACGGTGTAGTGCGTCGCTAATCAACATTTTCAGACCCAAATCATTATCAGCTAACTCAAAAGGTAAGGATAGTAATGAAATAGGCTTATCTTTACAAGCTTCATTGGCATAATTATCATCAGTGGTATTATCAATGACAAGTTGTTCCTAACATATACCAGCTTGAAGGACGTCATTTCCCATCATAAAATCCATTGACCTGAGAGGAAATGCACCACTAGAAATACCTACTGAAGTGTAAGCAGTTTCAATATATATCTTCTGTTCACCTAGCAGCAAATAGGCACCTGGGTGTTACTCGGCTGGTGTGGGTCGCATCCTGGGGGACAAGATTGAGGAGCACAATGGAAATAAGACTGACTTTCTTGGGTTATCCTGGGTGGCTAACCCTCCGCGGATTAAAAATCCCAAAGAAATCTTATCTTATCTTCTTACTTTTATAACAGCCATTATAGGCCTCTAACAAGACGTCTATCTTGGCATAAGTGCCATTAGTTAATGGCAGTACATCTTAACAAGGTGAGATAGCTGCCCATGTCTCGGAACGTAATTACACCAGTTAGCTGTGATTCGCCCAGTCCCACGTTTCCACTAGACAAGTAAGGTTTATAAACTAAAAGAGGAGGCAGTTAGGGTAAGATATAAACAGCTATTGGAGGATAGATGGGCTAATGAGAGCATAGGCAATGGGGTCGAAGAGGTATGGGGTAGGTTTAAAAATGTAGTCTTAGAGTGTTCTGCAGAAGTTTGTGGTTACAGGAAAGTGGGTGCGGGACGGAAGAGGACCGATTGGTGGAATGATGATGTAAAGAGAGTAGTAAGGGAGAAAAAGTTAGCATATGAGAAGTTTTTACAAAGTAGAAGTGATGCAAGGAGGGAAGAGTATATGGAGAAAAAGAGAGAGGTTAAGAGAGTGGTAAAGCAATGTAAAAAGAGAGCAAATGAGAGAGTGGGTGAGATGTTATCAACAAATTTTGTTGAAAATAAGAAAAAGTTTTGGAGTGAGATTAACAAGTTTAAGAAAGCCTAGAAAACAAATGGATTTCTCAGTTAAAAATAGGAGAGGAGAGTTATTAAATGGAGAGTTAGAGGTATTGGGAAGATGGAGGGAATATTTTGAGGAATTGTTAAATGTTCATGAAGATAGGGAAGCTGTGATTTCGTGTATAGGACAAGGAGGAATAACATCTTGTAGGAGTGAGGAAGAGCCAGTTGTGAGTGTGGGGGAAGTTCGTGAGGCAGTAGGTAAAATGAAAGGGGGTAAGGCAGCCGGGATTGATGGGATAAAGATAGAAATGTTAAAAGCAGGTGGGGATATAGTTTTGGAGTGGTTGGTGCAATTATTTAATAAATGTATGGAAGAGGGTAAGGTACCTAGGGATTGGCAGAGAACATGCATAGTTCCTTTGTATAAAGGCAAAGGGGATAAAAGAGAGTGCAAAAATTATAGGGGGATAAGTCTGCTGAGTATACCTGGTAAAGTGTATGGTAGAGTTATTATTGAAAAAATTAAGAGTAAGACGGAGAATAGGATAGCAGATGAACAAGGAGGCTTTAGGAAAGGTAAGGGGTGTGTGGACCAGGTGTTTACAGTGAAACATATAAGTGAACAGTATTTAGATAAGGCTAAAGAGGTCTTTGTGGCATTTATGGATTTGGAAAAGGCGTATACCAGGGTGGATAGGGGGGCAATGTGGCAGATGTTGCAAGTGTATGGTGTAGGAGGTAGGTTACTGAAAGCAGTGAAGAGTTTTTACGAGGATAGTGAGGCTCAAGTTAGAGTATGTAGGAAAGAGGGAAATTTTTTCCCAGTAAAAGTAGGCCTTAGACAAGGATGTGTGATGTCACAGTGGTTGTTTAATATATTTATAGATGGGGTTGTAAGAGAAGTAAATGCGAGGGTCTTGGCAAGAGGCGTGGAGTTAAAAGATAAAGAATCACACACAAAGTGGGAGTTGTCACAGCTGCTCTTTGCTGATGACACTGTGCTCTTGGGAGATTCTGAAGAGAAGTTGCAGAGATTGGTGGATGAATTTGGTAGGGTGTGCAAAAGAAGAAAATTAAAGGTGAATACAGGAAAGAGTAAGGTTATGAGGATAACAAAAGATTAGGTGATGAAAGATTGAATATCAGATTGGAGGGAGAGAGTATGGAGGAGGTGAATGTATTCAGATATTTGGGAGTGGACGTGTCAGCGGATGGGTCTATGAAAGATGAGGTGAATCATAGAATTGATGAGGGGAAAAGAGTGAGTGGTGCACTTAGGAGTCTGTGGAGACAAAGAACTTTGTCCTTGGAGGCAAGGAGGGGAATGTATGAGAGTATAGTTTTACCAATGCTCTTATATGGGTGTGAGGCATGGGTGATGAATGTTGCAGCGAGGAGAAGGCTGGAGGCAGTGGAGATGTCATGTCTAAGGGCAATGTGTGGTGGTGAATATAATGCAGAGAATTCGTAGTTTGGAAGTTAGGAGGAGGTGCGGGATTACCAAAACTGTTGTCCAGAGGGCTGAGGAAGGGTTGTTGAGGTGGTTCGGACATGTAGAGAGAATGGAGTGAAACAGAATGACTTCAAGAGTGTATCAGTCTGTAGTGGAAGGAAGGCGGGGTAGGGGTCGGCCTAGGAAAGGTTCGAGAGAGGGGGTAAAGGAGGTTTTGTGTGCGAGAGGCTTGGACTTCCAGCAGGCATGCGTGAGCATGTTCGATAGGAGTGAATGGAGACAAGTGGTTTTTAATACTTGACGTGCTGTTGGAGTGTGAGCAAAGTAACATTTATGAAGGGGTTCAGGGAAACCGGCAGGCCGGAATTGAGTCCTGGAGATGGGAAGTACAGTCCCTGCACTCTGAAGGAGGGGTGTTAATGTTGCAGTTTAAAAACTGTAGTGTAAAGCACCCTTCTGGCAAGACAGTGATGGAGTGAATGATGGCGAAAGTTTTTCTTTTTCGGGCCACCCTGCCTTGGTGGGAATCGGCCAGTGTGATAATAAAAATAATAAAAAATAAGTAAGGAGTCATTACAGAACGAATTTTATCATCATGCAGACTTTCTGAACCCTAGTCATCTATCATGAACAATACTTTCCTGAGCGATAGAATTTGACGTGTTGCTAAATTCTTCGTAACTTTGTTGTATCCAAGAGGAAGATGCAACTTTTGTGCAGGTGCCATCCGCACGATCATTTCTCCTATCTCTTTCCAGTGTATAACAATATTCCCTGGAATGTCTTTTTCTCCTACAGTAGGTACATTTAACTTTCTTCTCGGTATCAAATTTCTGCCTTGCCACAGAAACAGATTTAGGATTGAGAGTCTTCGTAGTAGAGTGCGAGAGTTACAACAACAGGTGAGTGAAGACGACACTGATCAACTGATTTGGGTGCCAATTCCTAGGATATTTTTCTTGTGCCTAATTCCTTTGTGCTTTAGTACACACAAGTTTGTGAAATATCTCATAATTGCCTGCTAATGTGGCAGTCTCTAGAACATATGATGTAGTATGGTTAGTGAAATATTCTTGTATGTCAGCAGATACTCAGTTATATAAATCTTCATGCAGTGTCAGTTGAATGAGGTTGCAAAAAGTATTGCAATTTGAGGCTCTGCACCCCGTCTCCAACGCAGTCTTTCCCTCACTTGCTAATTCATCACAGCCTTGATCTTGTCTTCTCTGCCACTCACGAAATGCACTTTGGAAACACACAGGTAACAAGTTGGACGACTCTAGTATAATTTCTTTAACAGTACCATAATTTATGTACTTGTCAAAGGGCAAAGCAGCAGTACAAGTTTGAGCTCTGCCTGTCAAAGCTGTGTGAAATAATGTTGCTCAGTGCTTGTGTGGCCACTTCATTGCACGTCCCTGGTTCTCAGAAACATCAAGGTGTAAGTCACTTTCAAGGAACTAGGAAACACTAACAATAATATATTGTTGTGGAATGCAAAGAGTACGTAACCTTTATTCGGCGCATGTATACACCCTTATTGAAAGTTGTTGATAAAAGGAATATGAGTTACTTTACCTTCTTCTCAGGTAATGCATCTCAGTACCAGGCGAGGCATAACACCTGTAAGCTCAGTGCTTTCCTTTCAATATTATAACAATCTACAATTATCCTCTCATATAAAACTATGTTTACATTACAGTTTACATGTTCAGGTGATCAAGATGAGGTATGCAGTGATAGCAGCAATGGTAGTGATGGCAGCCATGGGAGCAGCCACTGATAGTGAAGCGGGAGAGAGGCCAGTGGTTGCCACACAGGATGGAAGGATCGCTGGTTTCAAGGAGTTCTCCACTGAAGGAAAACCATTTTACTCCTTCCAATCTATTCCGTTTGCTAAGCCACCTATAGGAAATCTACGACTCAGGGTAAGAAGAATATATTATTGCTGTATATTATTTGAGGCTGGTCTAACTACACATGTGTCCCACCATCACTGAACCCACAACTGGTCCAATGACCACATGTGTCCCACAACACTGTACCAGTCACAGACCAACAGATCACATGTATCCCCAAACACTGTTCCATCTACAAGCTCATAGATCACATGTGTCCCACAAGCACTGGTCTAACTGCTGGCCGATAGACCACATGTGTCCTTCCAATATTGAACCAACTACTGGCCCAGAGACCACATGTGTCCTTCCGGCACTGGACCAGCTACTGACCTATAGACCATATGTGTCCCACCACAGCTGGTCCAGCTGTTGGTCTATAGGCCGTATCTGCCCCAGCAAGACTGTTCCAACTACTGTCCCTATGGTCATTTGTGTCCCACGTGTAATGGTCCAACTACTGGTTCATGTGACACAGGTTACTCAACAACACTGATCCAACTACTGAATCAAGTGACACAAGGGGGCCAAAGTTGAATTGTTTTGGTTTTTTATATTTTATTAAAAACCGGACATACATTTACATACATGTATAGTTACACAAGGAAAAAGATGCAATGTTGGTAGTGATAAACATTAACTCTGCCCAACACTACACAAGGTCATGAAGAAAATACACTATGTATAACTATACATAAGCTAACCTAATAAGCAACCCACAGGCAAATACATAGTAAACTAGTACCACGGTTTGCATCATGCCATGGTATATATACCATGCGTCCTACACACACCAACCCCTCCCCCTCTCTCCAATAGATAGGCATTCCAACTGCCACTTATAATTTACATAAGTACACACACAACAAGCATAGACATGAACTTTCACCAGAACATTGTGCTCTTCGCTTTCGGGCCTAGAGGATCTACTGCGCAGATGCTCCTCAGCTGCCTGGTTGTGGTGGTGTGAGGTGGTGCTGTCGTGCCTCTGCTGTCAAACCAGGAGAACTACCATTAGTCAACATGGCGTTCAGTCATAGATGCCGGATCAACACTGTCAGAAATGAGCTTCTCCGAAGGGCAATATTGCCCGTTTCAGCACAAGTATTACTACCCAAGGTCATCAGAGAGATGTATGGCATTAAGGATGGAGAGTTAAACTGGGTAGCTTTAAATGGAGCTCACGGAATTCTTTGTGAAATTGCTCACAGCAACGGTGTACGAATCGTCAATCATCCTCACGCTGTTCGCATGAGGATGATTGATGTATCCAGGCATTACACATGGATCAAGCGTCGTAATGTTCCCTTTGAGATGGATGAGGCAGATATTAGAGGTGTTTTTTGAGAAATATGGGACAGTTCATTTGGTCAAGCACGGTACGTGGGTGACAGGAGCCTACGCGGGTCTACTGGAAGGCACTTTTAACCTAAAAATGACATTGCAACACCCCATACCGTCCTTACATGTACCTACAGGAATTCAGGACACAGTTCATGGTTTCGTATGCCGGGCAAAGACGTACATGCTGCCTATGTGGGGAATATGATCACATAGCAGCAGTGTGTGGGAAGCAGCAATGAGCGCCTGGCTCAGAGGTGGAGGCATCCGCTCCTGCAATGGAGGAAGCAGGTGGGGGACAATGATGTGAGGGAGGCCGTGGTCGTCTATGGAGCGAGATAGAGGATGAGGCGCATATGGTTGGGGGAGAGGGTGAGGCCCTCGACCAGTTAACTGACCCAGAGACTCTTCCAGAAGCAAGTGATGAGCAGAAAGTACAGGAGGAAGTGTTGGATATTGAGGAGGAATTGGCTGAGGTGTTGAAGTCTTTGTAACGGCCTGAGGAGGCGGTTGCACCTGAGTGAGTAGTAGACGACAAGTTGACGGCTGTGGTGTGTCAATGACAGGAGAACCATACGGACTACGGGATTGATAGCGTGGCAGAGGTGTCACCGGGATCAATGAACCAATGTACAGTGGAAGTAGAGGTCCATTGTGAGGCATCCCCAGACTAAGTTATGGAAGATGTGGTCGTCACGAGGAAGAGGACTGCTGCGTCTGATTCAGATGATGTCCTGATGCCAGCACAGTGGCCTGGGAAGCAGATTTGGGTGGAAGGTGAAGGTAGTGGTGGCCACGACAAGAGGCACAGGAAGAAGGGGAGAGAGTGGGAAGTGTGAGGGTGACAAGTGGAACTACAAGCTCTGGTGCCCCTGGGAAGAGTGGAGAGAGGAGGCAGGGGTGGAAACTTTTAAAGGCCTCAGGTGTATGACAGTAAACATTAATTAAAATCCTTCATGGGGCATATTAGAGGAAAATTAGAATTTCGAACTGAACTCCTTAGAGTGGATAGAGTATCTCAATGTAAGGTGAATGAGCCCATATAAATAGAATTCTGATGGTTATTTTTCGAGCAATTGCTAGTCTGTGAAGCCATAATCTACTAAGGCCTGCCCGATTAAGGGAGTATAATTTCAATTGTTGCAAAGTTGCAATTGTTAATAAAACACCAAATAACTATTTTTTTAACTTATTATACAAACAGACAATATCAAAAACATAAATGGAAATTGTATCCAAACATTTTGTAAGTATTAGAAATATATAAAAATGAACCAAATAGCAACATGGACACATTGCAAAGTGATAAAACTTTCAAGTTCCATATTCCTGAGTTTCCTGAGAAAGAACATTCTATATTACTAACTGCTAGAATGAAAGTCTATGAAGCAATTATTATCCTTCTTTATACATAGATTTACTTTGTAAATGGAGCAGTAAAATGAGGATGTGACATGACTTTTTGCAGCAATATTTGCAACTAAGTAGCTCCTAGCATTGGCCAGTGACCTAATATTTTATCAAACCTCACACTGTCATCAGTGCTGGTAGTGGAGAGCAGATGACAATTGCAAGGTTGGCAAAACATTACTGTCACCATTGGAAGTACTTGGTGAAGCTCTTGAAGTTGCTCTTATGCAGACATATTTTGACCTGGTGTTGGAAGGCTCACCATAAAACAATTTCTCATTGATGTGGAAGGACAACAAAAATATTCTGTACACATCCAGACCACTACAAAATTCAAATAAGCAATATAAATATTTTTTATAATTATTTATTTACTGAAATTGAAAACTTGCCCTAAAAGGGGCAGACCAACATTTATTGAGGCCTCTTATGTTGCATTTTTCTCATTTGCATGGTACACTCATATTATGCTTCACATGGCCTTTATATATATATATACATCAAAATATGCCTAAACTATTCATTTATGCACTAGACATAACAATTAGTACTTACCGACATTGTAGAGGATAAAATCCAAGGGTATTTGAGTCTCACTAGATGAAAAAATGTTACTCTCGCCAATGCCAAGCCAAAAGTGTTTACATCTTGGTCTCTCAACCAATGGGAAGTGAGAACAGGACGGCACCACTTAGTTGAAGCGATTCAGGGAAGGCTTGTGATTGGTCAGAAATAAAGAATGGGAATCTGGATGCACGGCATGAGTAGGATGACATGCGCAGAAAAGCACATGCTCAGGCCCACAAACTTTGCGGCCTGCCCCATGAAGGGTGGTTTGTGTAATAGTGTAAAGAGAGAATGGTTTAGAATGTTTCTGAATAAATCTAGAGTGGATGTTATGTTCCTTCAGGAGCATAATTTTAAGGAGAGTAAGGTGTTGGAGATGGCAGGGTTTCAGGTGGTAACCCTGCCATCTGCCTGTTTAAAAGGTGGTGTGGGTATATTAATTAGGGAGGCGAGCCCGTTTGTTTTGCAGAAAAGTGAGAGGGGAGGGGGCAAGGAGGAGGGATTTGCATGTGGATGGTTGATGCATGGTCAAGCGTGTGTCCTTTGTAAGCGTGTATGCGCCTGCAGAGAATAACATACAGGTGAAACAGGAGTTTGTGTGTGAAGACCTTGTGTTTTTCTTACGTGCATTACCGGAGGTGGCACTAGTAGGAGGCGACTGGAATTGCATCATTGGGAGGGTCGATGGGGAACCGAAAGGGGCAGGATATGTGTCTGTGACCCTAAGGGATTTAATGAGGGATATTCAGTTATGGAACACGTATGAAGGGGGGGTGTAGGAGAGGGTATGCGGTGAGGTTAGACAGAGTGTATCTTTCTCAGGGGTTGTAGTACAATCTTTCAAAACTGTTGAGGTAGCATTGTCGGATCATAGACCAGTGGTGGTGGAGGTAGGGTGGGAGACACTTGCAGAAATATACAGGAGTTACTGGAAATTAGACATAAGTGTGTTGAATGATGAGGAGGGGTTAGAGGAATTTTCTGTCCTATGGAAGGAGCTTAGTGAGGATGCATAGGGGGTGGAAGATGTCGTGAAATGGTGGGATTGTGTCGCTAAGGAAAGGTTTAGGAAATATTATGTGAGGGAGGGTAAATGTATAAATAACTTAAAATATGGACTTTCAAACTATTTAGAGGACAGGTTAAGGGGTAGTTATGGGCAGAGGGCTGTAGGGGGCAACTATCCTATGAACGATATTGTCGAAGTGAAGGCGAGACTGAGGGAGTTACAAAATGAGAGGTTTCAAGCAGTAAGGGTGCAGGCAGGGGTAGAGGAAGTGCTTTGGGGCGACAAGCCATCTGCGTGTGTGTTGCAACATCAAAAGCAAAGGCAGCAGGTTACAGCTATCCCAAGGTTCGAGGTACACGAGTCGGTGGTAGGTAATAGGGTAGGTCCTCTTCAAGGGGGGCTCCTTGGCGTGGTGAAGAGGCTCTTGGTCTGTGGAATTAGACCTGTCGGTCTTCTTCCTCAGACCGAACCTAATTACCCTCCAATCTCCCCTCCCCTATCCCATCCTCCTCATCCTCCCCTTTTTCCTTTCCTCCTCCTCCTCCCCACCCCTCCCTTTTTCCCTTACTCTTTTTGGCCTTTGGGATTTCTCCCACAGGCGCGCTAGTTCCTAGGTAGGGGAAAGGATACCGGGGTCTATCCCATTCCGTTGAGGTTCTTGGCGGTGGCATAGTTTGCCGTGAAATCTGGATCGCCTGGGGAT